CAATCAAAGCTTGAGTTAGTGTCGCATGAGACGAATAACAAACGAATTTCATTAGAACGCCTGGATGCAACAATTCGAGCTCTAAAGATGTCTGTGTTGTATATGCTCGTAAGTGAAGGCGTTTTGACTTCCGGCACTTGCCGCCTCACCAGCGGTGCTCAATTGAGCTAGTCAATGAGAGGTGTCGGACAAAATTGGAAACATCTGTCTATGTTAATACAGAGGTTTTAGGTAATATTTCATGAGTTCGAGAGTGAATATGTAACATGACGGACGGCAAGGATTTTTTTAAAAGAAAATCTCTTAGTTTTGAAAAATCATCATAGTATCACACCTTTTAAAACTCGGCTAGGTAAATTTCATCTATCAAATGTTTTCTTTTTTAGTAATATCCGAAGGAATATTTTTCGAAAATAATTTTTATAATAGTATCGTGAGAGTATAAACAACTTCAGGCGAGCGATTTTAATGACCTCTCGGCTGATAGCTTATCGATTTTTTCTTTTTTTAAAATCAAATTTATTTGATTAGTATTCAAAGTGAGAGAAAGGAATATTTGTCAGAATTAGAAAGCAACTTCTGCACTCAGACTTGACATGCCTTGTTTTTATGTGGACGAGAGTATTCAAATTGAAACTTATACCCAACTGTACAGTTACGTCAGCGTCTGCACCGTCCGAAATTCCTCAACGATTTCTTCAACCTTGGATCCATCAATCATTGATGGATATCCTTAAACTTGGTGATCATATTGCATCTTTCAGATACCAGGGTTTGAAAACCATTGTATGTTTACGGCAGAGGCCAGTGGTCAAGTCAGGAATTTTGCCCCTGCAGATAACCGAATATTCTCTCTCGGAATGAAATTTTGAATATTTTGATACTTCTGGAAGACATACTAACTTTCACATGCAAATGAGAATGCTTTGTGATTTATTGAGTGCCTGTCATTTGGGGGTCAATGGGCCTGTTGCAAACTTTTGCTAGAGCAAAACTAAGAGTTGTTTCCTGCAGATAATGCCTCAAAAATCACGATGAGCGCATCGGAAAAGTCTGAAATGCACTCATAACTTCACAATCTGCGTAAGATATTTGCGGTTTTTTGAGCTCCCCGCTTCGAAAACGATACTACGGTACAGGTGAACATTTTGTTAGAGGAGTCGTTCCATTGGCGACAATACTCATCAAGGCCGACGCCAGTCCGCCAAAACACGTGTGATGGGACGAGATAACACCTGAACAGGATTAAACCTTATAACAATCGGCGTGTTTACGTTCATATTTTCCTCGCCCGCCTTAATTAACCTTGAACTCTCCTCGAATTACGCGAGGAACTGCGCAAGCGTCGGCCATGATGAATATTGCCGACGATGGAGCGACTCATCTAACAAAATGTTCGCCTGTGCAGTAGTATCGTTTTTGAAGCGGGAAGCTCAAAATAACGAAAATTTCTTACGCAGATTGTGAATTTATGAGTGCATTTCAGACTTTGCCGATGCGCTCATCGTGATTTTTGAGGCATTATCTATAGGAAACAACTCTTCATTCTGCTCTAGCAAAAGTTTGCAACAGGCCCATTTTATGCTTTTTTAGTGCTTAAATGAAGATATACCTCAAAATTACATCTTATTTTATAAATGCACAGTATTTACAAAGGCTCTTCGATTTTTCCTGTGTACGATAAGTATCTTGATTTATTTTGCGAGGAAAGATCTTTACTTTTAAAGGATGCCTGTCATTCTTAATATGTTCAATTTCGTATAATACTGTGCAACACCTCTGTTGTGAAATGGTTACTTCAGGCGCCGCCGCACGGCGGCGGGCGGTCAGCCAGCGCTAAACGCGCATTGGCGCCTACAAACCTAAGAGGATACTTCAAGCATTGTGCAATGCGTGAAGTATCCACTTAGGTTTGTAGGCGCCAATGAGCCTCTCGCGCTGGTAGCACGCCGCTCCGCTCTGTTCGGCTTTAATATTTATACTCGCATAGTCAGCGTTTTTTAACTTATGATTTGGAAATTTTAGCACACTCTGCATTGAGAATTCTCATTTAAATTGATGGGGAAAAAATATGTATCAATTTATCAAAGGAGAATAATAATATGATGTGTGTTTTTTTAAATATTGGTGGTTCCGTGTTAAATTTAATGATTTCTAAAGCACTTTAATTTTTTCTTTTACATTTTGTGCTTTTATTGTGCTGCAGCGAGGTGTACGCGCAAAGAAACGCTCAAAATTTGACGTATTTGACTCTAAAAGATCCATGTTCAAATGGGTTAAAACTAAAGATTGCGTGCTTCTTGGTTTTTTTTTTCCTCTGTTATTCATTTTAGCAGTTTCTGTCGGCACAACTGCGGCTCATTGAGATTAATGTCGCTTGGAAATGGTTTTACAAATTTTTGTCACGTTTTAAAAATATAAATGTTTTCAAAATGAAGTAATAATTTCGTAAAGAAAAAATACAAGAAAAGTACCTATACGTATGTAAGGTATATTGTACATTCAATATTTTAAGGATAGAAATAAAACCAAATATTCACCAATGACAATTAAAAAAGATGATTCAAAAGGAAAAATAAGAACATTCCATTTAGAAAATGAGCAACCATAACAACACCTCCTTCTATCTCAATTTCTCATTTCCGTATTGTCAATATAATTTTACATATACCGACTAAAATATAACGCTTGGACCAAGTCACTGTTGCTTATTTTACGTGTGGGCGTAAACTGCTGGACCAAAAAGGTTCGCCGACAAAAAATCGTTGACAAAATGTCCTGAGAACATCCTGATAATTCGCACGTAATTTGAGCCATTCGTCTTTCGAAAAAATTAGATGCAACAAGAAATCCTTGACTTTACTAGCCTAACTACACGTATATGATTTCCTAAGTGCAATGGCGAAACTATAACACAACATAGCCTAGTAAATACCTATATTAGTGAAAATTATATTATGTTCGCCTCTTTCCCTCCTAAAATAAGGGTTGCCCCCAGTTTGAGTTTGATGTGCAGAGGCGATTGCTAGCAACACCGAGAAACAGAGGAAAAAGTGAGGGCGCGAGATTCGATGATTCTGTCTCGAGGGGG